TCCTCCTCTTCTCCTCTTCCGCTATTCCTCCTCCTTCGTTCGCCCTCCCCTGTCTTCCTCTCACCCTTTTCCTCCTCCTCTCCTCCTCCTCTCTTCCTCTCCGCTCCTCCTTTTCTCCGCTCCTCCTCTCCTCCAATCCTGATCCTCTCCTCCTCCTCTCCTCCTCCCCATCTCCTCCTCTCCTCATCTCTTCTCATTGATTCCTTGATCATCCTCGCATCCTTGTCCTCTCATCCTTCTCATCCCCTCATCCCCCCACTCTCCCCATCCTCGCACTCTTTTTCCCTCTACCCATCTTTGTGCTACTGCTCCTCCTCCTCCACCTCTGATTCTCTGCGCCCCTCATCAGAATTCGAACTCATTTTCACATCCGCATCTTCTCTTATATATGACTTGTCCAACGCTGCTGCTTCCTCCACTTCTTTCACCTTCCTCCCATCTCCCCATCTCCCCATCTTTGCCTCTTTGCCGCCACCCCAGGACTGCAGCTACACGTGGGGCGGCTCGACTGCGACCGTCACCGTGACCACGGTCAAGTTGGTTGCGCGGGTGTTGAAGGAGGAGGAGAGGAGGATAGGAGGAGAGGAGAGGGAGAGGAGAGGAGGAGAGGAGGAAAGGAGGAAAAGGAGAGGTGGAGGAGAGGAGGAGAGGAGGAGAGGAGAGGGAGAGGAGGAGAGGATGAGAGGGCACAGGAGGACAGGAGCAGAAGGGATGGGGGGACGAGGGGGGCGAGAGGAGGAGGAGGAGGAGGAGGAGGATGTGGAAGAAGAGGAGGAGGAGGAGGAAGGCAATGGAATGGGCGGGTCTGCGGTGTGACGGTGTGACGTATCGATGCCAGGTCTTCTGGGGGTCATGCGAATACTGGGCAAGCGATGCCAGCGACGACGGCGACGACTCGATTGCCGATGGTTCTGGGGTCCTGGGGTCCTGGGGTCCTTGGGGTCATTGTCTCCTGGTCCTGGTCTCCTGGTCTCCGAGTCTCCTGAACTCCTGCTCTCCTACTTCTGCTCCTGCTCTTCATGCTCCTCCTCCTCCTGGTCCTCCCCCTTTTGCCCTTTTCCTGCTCCTGCTCCTGCTGCTGCTCCTCGTCCCTGCTGCTGCCGATGCTGATCCTCCTCCTCCTCTGGCACTCTCGAGTCCAGAAGTCCTGAACCCCGGAGGTGCTCAACGTTAACGCGTTCACTTCTGTTCGGCCGCCTCTGGCGTCAGAGTACGCTGACAACAAGGATTTCAAGAAGGCCAAGAAAGATTTCGCGGTTTCCTTGGGCAAACAGCACAGGGTCGGACTCTTGGACCCAGAGGACCCTGACTGCGGCCATTGTCCTATCGAGCTGACTCGGCTGCCGTTCCCGGAGGAGCTCGGTAGATCGCCAGCGTCGCTTCACGAGGGGCCCGATGGGTCTGGGCCTGGTTCTGGCGGCGGTGATTTCGGCGGTGATGGTGCTAACGGCGGTGGCGACGGTGCCGACCCCGACGCCGATATCTGGGCCAAGATGCCCCAGAAGCTCATGAAAGCTACGGCCAAGCACTTGCTTGGCTAGGCGGCGGAGGCGGCGTCAACCTAGTGGGCCAGGGGCGCCCGTGACGCACTCTCACTCTGTGCACTCTCCCACGCCTCTCAACCTCTCACGCGCTCGCCCTCCTTGGCTCCTTGGCTTGTTCCAGCCCTTCCCGAGCTATCTTGCCCCTTCTTACTCCTCCTCCTCCTCCTCCTCCTCCCCCCCCTCCTCCTCCTTCTCCTTCTCCTCCTCCTCCTCCTCCTCCTCCTCCTCCTCCTCCTCCTCCTCTCCTCCTCCACCTCCTTCTCACCCTTCTCCCCCTCCCCAATTCGCCCATGCCCATGCCCTTCTCTTGTCCCCTTCTCACCTCCGCTCCATCCTCCCTTGCTCCTTTCCTCGTGCCCTTCGGACCTTCTCATCTTATCCTTATGCTGCCTGCTGCTCCTCATGGTATATATATATCCTCTTTCTCTTCTACTCCTCTACTCCTTTCCTCCTCTCCTCTTCTGGCTCTTCTGGCACTGGTGGCGCTGGCGGTGGCAGCGCGGCAACGCCCGCTGAGCCCGTCACCGGCGGCTCGCGGGTCAGGCCAGCGGCTGGCGCTCAGGGGAGGGCGGCGGGGTGGGGAAGGGGCCGCTTGGGCGCAGAAGGTTCGTTCGGAGTTTCGATGGGGGGAAGGAGAGGGGGAGGGGAACATTGAACATGGGAAGATGGGGGGAGGAGAGGAGCGGAGAGGAGGGGGGGGAGGCTGGCAGGAGAGCAGGAGAGGGGGAGAGGGGAGAGGGGTGAGCAGGTGAGCAGTGAGCAGTAAATTAGTAAAGGGGTAAGGCGATAGTAGTGGAGTAGTGAGGTAGTGGGGTAGTGGGAGGGGTAGGAGTAGTGGAGGGAGTAGTATTTTAGTATAGGAGTGACGTGTAGGAGGGTCAATCCAGAGATCCAGAGATCAGTCAGATGAGGAGCGACTGGGGGGCTGGGGGACTGGGTAACCAACGAACCTTTTACGCTTAAACTGCCCCCTCCCCCCCCCCCCCCCAGCGCGCTCGGCGCGCCTGGCGGCGTCTTGAGCCGCGTGCGATGGGCGCACGTGGCGCCGTGGCAGAGTGCCACATGCACCACATGCATGCATGCATGCAATTCGTCTCCTCGTCTCTCGCATGTCCTGTCGCTACTCTCGCTACTCTTCCATCCCAGCCGTCCCGTCCTCCCATCCCTCTGTCCCTCTGGGCTCTGTGTTCCCATCCTTCTCATCCTTCTCCTCCTCTCCTCCTCTCGCTCTCTCATTATCTCATTATCCTACTCCTCCTTCTCTCCTTCTCTCCTTATCCCGCTCCCCCCTTCCATCCCCTCCCTCCCTCCCTCCTCCTCCTCCTTTCATCCTCCTGCTCCTCGTCTCCTCGTCTCCTCCTCCGCCTTGATGCCTTGCCAACTTGAGCCTCCTCCAGCCTCTCTCCCTCTTCTCTCTCTTCCTCCTCCTGTTCCTCCTCACTCAACCTCTCAACCTCTCAACCTCAGTCCTCCTCAGTCCTCCTCTCCGTCCTGTCCTTCCTCCTTCATTCCTCTCCTCCTCCTCCTCCTCCTCCTCCTCCTCCTCCTCCTCGTCCTCCTCCTCCCCATCCTCCCACCCTCCTCCTACTCCTCCTCTCCTCCTCCTCCCCTCTCCTCCTCCTCCTCCTCCTCCTCCTCCTCCTCCTCCTCCTCATCCTCCCTCCTCCTTCTCCTTCTCCTCCTCCTCCTGCTCCTCTACCTCTCCTTCTCGTCTTCTCCTCCTGCTGATCTTCCCTCTTTCTCCCCCTGGTGTTGCTGCTGCTGATGCTGTTCCTCCTCCTCCTCCTCCTCCTCCTCCCCCCCTCCTCTTTCTCCTCCCTCCTTTACCTCCTATCCTCCTCTCCTCCGTCTCCGCTCCTCCGCCTCCTTCGCCCTCATCATCCTCATCCTCTCATCCTCGTATCCTTGTTCTCATCCCTTTCTCCCTTTCCATCTTCCTATCCTCTCCATCTCATGCAACTCTGCTCCTGTCCCTGTGCGGGTTCGGGGGCTGGCTGCCTGCCTGGGCCGATCGGGGCCTTGGCCCAGGCCCCCAGCGCCGGAACGCGGTGTCTCGGTCTCTTGAGGCGAGACAGAGAAATGGTGAAGAGGATGAGGAGGATGAGGAGAGAAAGGGAGGAAGGTGAGGACGAAGAGAGACGAGAGGAACATGACAACAATGATCATGAGTTAGGGACGGTAGGAAGTTAGGAAGTTAGGACCAGGAGAAGAATAATGAGGGGAGGGAGGAGGAGAGGAGGAGAGGATAGAGGATGTGAGGAGGGAGGGGGGGGGAGGGAGGATGGGGGGAGGAGGAGCAGGAGGGGGGGGAGAAGGAAGAGGAGGAGGAGGAGGAGGAGATACCTAAACAGAGACGTGACACCGCTGCATCTTGTTGCACTTGGCAGTGTGTGGTGGTAGCGCCGCTGCCGTTGCGCGCGGGGTGCGCAAAAGGGAGCTGCCGTCTCCAGCGCCTGTCACTGCCCCCCGACGCGCCGCCGCCGCAGACGCCGTCGTCGTCGGCGTTGTCGCGTCGTCGTCGTCGTCGTCAGCTCGTCGACTCGTCGAATGTCGTCGGTCGTTGCGTCGTCGCGGTCGTGACGTCGTGACGCCTCGCGTTTGCTGTCGCCTCTGCCGTCGCTGTCGTCGCCGCCGTGGTCGAGTCGTCGAGTCGTCGAGGCCAGTCGTCGCTGTCGTTGCTGTCGTTGTCGATCTTCGTCGTCGTCTCGTCGCGTGGTCGGTGGGAGTCGCGTCGCGGGGTCGCGGGGTCGTCGGCGGGTCGTTGTCGCCCATTGGAGCGCTACCAAACACCGCAAACACCGCCCAGGAGATAAGGAATTCTATTATAATCCAAACGTAAGATGTTACGAATGTGCTAAGGATTCGCGCAGCGGTAGCGTTGGGAACTTCGGCGGCCAACGACCAGAAATAGCCAAAAAGTGGTCTGCTCCTGCCCGGGGTTACGCACATCCCCATTGATCGACCGCCTCCAAGATGGCCCCAAGAGGCCCTCCAGGGCTCCCAAGAGGCTCCCAAGAGGGCCCTTAGAGCGCCCCAAGAAGCCCCAAGAGGCCTCCAAGAGGCACCCGAGAGGCCTCAAGAGGCCCCCGAGCGGCCTCAGAGAGCCCAAGATGACCTCCAAGATGGCTCAGATAGCCCAAGCTGGCTTAAGATGGCTCCCAACATGCTCCAAACGGCCCCAAGACCGCTCCAAGTCGGCTCGAGATGGCCACGGAGCCTCCCAAGCCTCCCTCGCTGTTTGACTATGCGTGCCTCTTCCTCTCTCCCCCCGTCAGCTCTCATGGGCATTGCTTCTGGATGGGCTGCTGGGGATACGCGAAACGTCAAGAATTATGAGCTCTCTGGCATCCTGCATCGTATGCGACCTCAATGCCTGCTGGGCTTCACGGACACAGCATCCGGGTTGGCATTGCATTGTCATAACAACCCATGGAACACACAGAACCAGCATAGAGGTCATGTGGGTAAAAAGCTGAATAACAGCTGTTCACCGGTAGCTGTGCTAGCCTCAGTCTCCAAACCACCAAAGACAAGCATGGTCTCGTAATCATCCCACTCCAAATATCCTTGGAGCTTCCCCGACTTTATACTCGGCGGATTGCACGTGCCCCCATGCATCGAAAACAACATCCGCCGCAGCTGCCTTCACACTACATGGAAGACATTACCTTCGAAAGCCCTGCGCTGCGCAATAGCCACAACGCTGCAAACAAATCGAACACCCTCATGTGCCAAACTGCCCGCGAACATACATAATGAAGATCGCGCTCTCCTGCAGTGTCATAGGCACCTTGGTACCACATGGCGACATAATCAACACGTGCCTCGATATCGCCCGTCTTCACCAACTCCGACCACGTACCACTCGCTATGTCATAGCCGTAGAGCTCCTCACTTGCCGTGGTCGACAAACCTTCGGACACATGGGTGGCAAGAAAGATAAGAGTTTTGGGCGCCCGGAACTGGTACGGAAAACATGGGCACACTGCCGAACAACAGATGTTGTCCCAAGCCAACAGAGGCCGCTGCTGGGCGGACGGCCTTCTGCCTTATTTAATGGACACAGGCCGCGGCGGCGCGGACAGCGAGTCCTGACCAACATGAGCAGGAACTGTTGTTGGGCACTCTACAGTCGGGGCCCTGAAGAAGGAACCCTTTCGGTTGGGGAGGGGCTCCGCGTTCCTTTAGTGTTTCACAGCTTGCCTCAGGTTTTCCTTATGTGTTCGATAGGAAATCGAAGTCTAGCTCATGGAAAAAAGGGGCCTCGTTCCTTATTTTGGGTTCCTTAGGTCAAGCCCCCGACTGTACCCATTCTTTCCGTACCCATGTCGTTCGTGCCGAAGAATGACACGTGTATCCTCTTGCGGCCGCCGTGCTGGCACTGGCGGCGCCGAGTCTTCTGGCACTGGGGCAACGAGCTGTACGCGCTGATCACCTGTCTTACTAGGGGCGCCTGCTTCACAAACGCGGTCATGACCATCCTGTCTCTTCTTGCGCGCACGAAGCTCACAGCCGGGTGCAGGCCATGCATGTGCGGCTTCTGCTTCGGAGGGGGGGCTGTGCTGTGGAGGGGCCTTAGCACTGGTCAACGATGTGCTCTTCACCAAGCCTGGCAGGGTGGGCCCTTTCCCGGATCCGTGCTTCGGTGCAGATCGCTAGCACGTCTCGTTTCTGTCGTCGACGGTGGCGTCGTCGTCATCGTGGTCGTGATTAGTGTTGCTCTACTTAGGTCCTGACTCCCGCGTGCAATGACCACCACCCAACCCAACCACCACACAAGAAACGGGCAGACTATCCCCCACAGCGGCTAGCTGCACAGCGCTGTGCGCAAAGAACCCATGATGCGATCAAGCTTAAGATAGTCCATGAAGCCACTGCCAGGACGTACAACTGCGATTGCACTTTCGAATGTCTTCGCGGCAACGCACGACGAGCTCGGGCCGACTGACGGCTGCTTGAGGCTTGGACTCCCCTCCGAGTGTCCTGCACACTCGGGCAACCAGATGGAACCCGCTGACCCTCGAGGAGCCTACAGACACAGCCATTGTAACGAAACGGACGAGGACACTTTCGAACATTCTTCTGATGTTGCTTACGATTGCGACTCGCGACTCTGCCTAAATATATTTCCAATGATTGAACATGTCGTGATGCTGGTCATGCTTATCCGGATCCGCCACCGTGCGGTAAGCACTGAGTGGGGTATCGCCAGGGTCGCTAGAGACCTTGACACATCGATTACTGAAAATGAATGATAATTGAAAAACTCCAGGCCCCCAGAATCCAAACTCATGGAAACATTTAGGACCCCTGCTTGACTGTTCCAGAGGCCTCGGGAGGGTGGTTTGGATTCCAAACGTCCAAAAATATTATGAAGCTGGCCCCAGGGACCTGTTTGGGGGCTTTCTAATGGTCCTCTTGGACTGGCCTTCAGGCCCTGCGGGACAGCCCGAGATGCAAAACTCAGTAACACACAAAAGAGGGCCCCAAGAGCCCCACTCACAGGGGGCAATTCGAACTGACATCCGGGCCCTCCGCCCGAAGATAGCGCCTGAAACCGCCTGCAGGCCCTACTGATGTGCGACCGAGATGCTGTCGGGGGCCTCAACGAGGCCTCAAAGTTGCCTTCAAGAAGCTGCCAAGAGGCCCTAAGAAGCCTCTAAGACGACCACAGGGGCCTCCTGAGAAACCCCAAGTTGCCTCTAAGCGGCCTCTCGTCCGCGACCCAGGCGCGATTGCGGGATGGGCAGAGCATCGCTGCGATACTATTTGCCCGCAGCCGTTTACGTCACGTCCTGGCCAGGGCATCATTAACTCCCGCATGGCCCAGTTCTGTCTGGTCTGGCTGAGCTTCGCTGAGCTCCGCCGAAAATGGACCTCAACAGAATGCCAAGGAGGGGTCCTGGTTCGATCGGATAGGGGTGGATCCCACGTCCTCACCACTTGCCCCAGTCGGGTGTTCCCATAACAGCATCCTGAAATCTGGTTGGCGTGTGTCCTGCTCTGGCCTGGATCGGCTTCTCTTGGCGGGTGGTCCCTCCTTGGGCGTCCTCCGAATCTGCCTGGTTGGGGTCGTGGTTCGGGCAGGTTCCACCTGAATGGTACTCACTATAATGCCTGGCTCGTGCTGGTCGCGTTCGGATTCAGCCTCCAGTGGGATGGTGAGGGGTGAGAGGGAAATGGGCAGCTGGATTTGGAAGAACGAGGAGGACGTCACAGGATGCAACCCTCCAACATGCGACTATTCACATCCTGCACCGCCGAGCGCAGTCCTCATGCATGTTGGTGGCTGTGGACGCTTCATCGCGCTCTATCACAGAATGCAGCCTTCAGTGTAGGCGGCGGGGTGGTCTGCGCTGGATGGGCCTCGAAAACAGTGGTCAAAAGAGACGGGCGAGGATTCATCTGCTCAACATCGGCCCCCGGACCCCGTCCAGGGTCAGAACCGACCAGTTTTTCGAGCCGCGTCCAGCCGTGGCGATGAGATGGCACCTTTCCCCGCCCCTTTCTGTACGGAGCCAGTGCTGGGCCACCTCAACATCCCAGCCGGCTCCAACCCTTACACGGTTGCTGTTGGGGACACCCGGCGCACTGCTCCTCTGCATCACTGCATCAGAGAATTCAACCTTCGTACTCTCAGCCGAAGTGGCCTCGATATAATCGCATGGCTTTTGACTACCACCACCACCGTAAAATGACAGTTCGCCACGAGGATGCGGCGTGAAGCGCGCAGCCGACTAAGCGCAACACGAACTGCATAGGAGAAGGGATATGAAAAACCTCAAAACACTCCAGGACCAGAGCACTGATCTATATTCAGTAGGTCAGCCTACCTAGTGCTCATGTTTTGCGACAGCCTGCATCACACAGTGCAGCCATCACGCACTTGGCTGCCTGCTGCATGCTGGCATGCGCGCACACATCTCTCGCCCTCGATTCTCCCTATTCCTCTTCATACTCCTCTTCGCCCTTCTCGTTCGAACCTCGACCCACCGGGAGCTCCAGCAGCAAGCAGGAGAGGCACGCTTGCCGAATGTCATGAGCACGCCTGGTTCTCCTACAACCCTGCAACTAGAGCCGGAACTAGGCCATAATAACATCCTTTAAGAACATGAGACCCTCCGCCGGCCAAAACACCCCAAACCATAAGATCACTCGAGGGTATCCTCCCCAATGATGCACACGAACATCCAACAACCACGAAGAGCACTAAGATACCCTCGTTATGCCTCGGCCCGACCGTATTACACCCGATCTCAGGGCGTCATGCCGCAAACCAACAAAAAACATGACGGGCTGATTCGCCTAGTTTGGGTCCTCGGACCCTCCAGCATGGATCGGGGTCAACAAGCTCACCATGAGGATCTGAGGGCTCTGGCGGCGATTTCTCCACGACACCGCGGTCCTTCCACGGCGGCGAACGCCAAGGCCCGCAAGGAGAGAATGGCGGGGGCTTCGGCGCCGCGGCGGAGGGACACACCTGCACCCTGGGTCCCTCGCCGTTCAGCGAGGCGTCTAGAAGAACGGACAGCCGCAGGGAAAGAAACTGCTGGAGGTCCCCGCGGACTTCCTGGATCCGCGCTGGACCCCCTCCCTGGCGCGCGGAGCGCGCCAGGGGCCGCGCCGGAGGCGCCGCCCGGGGGCCCAACGGGAATCCAAGAAAGCCGAGCGAAGCTCCGCAAGCATATATGTTTCTTCACCTGTGTGGTCTCCGAGCGTCGGGCGGTGCGTGGCCCGAGCCGGGCCGCCCGTGCTCCCCGGCACGGCGGAGCGGGGCTGTGGGCGGAGGGGCGGTGCACGCGAGGAGGGCGAGGAGGAGGCCGCGCTCGGTTGGGCGGGCGGCGGGGAGCAGGACCGGGGGCGGCTCCGTGGGCCTTCGTACCCGCCGAGGACGAGGAACTGCTCGGCGTCGGTCATGAGGACGAGGGAGTGGGCGTAGAGCCCAGGGACGGCGATCCCGCGCCCGTTGGGCGTCAGCTGGGCGAGCGTCTCTTGAACCGCTGCTGGAGGCGGAGGCAGGGCGAGCACGGCACCGCGAGGCGCGATGGGCTCCAGGATGCGTCCCGAGGGCTCCGCAGCTTCTGGCTGCCCTCGTGCCGCCAGTCGGGCTGCAACTCGCGGTCCAGGGGTCGCCCCACGCCCCAAGGGTCGGGGATGGACAGAACCCCATTTAGTAAAACGTGGTTTGGTGAAAACGACCTCGGGCCCAAACCTGGCGGGCGCATGACGGCCGCGCGCCCTCTCGATAACCGAAAACGGACAATTCACTAATCGACGTGTCAGGGTGGGGGTTCTGTCCACCCCCGACATTCGCTGTCCAGGGGTCGCCCCATGCCCCAAGGGGGCCCATCGGCAAGTCCCTGGCACCGCCCACCGCCAACCGCGGGGGGGTGCATGGCGGCGTGCCCCCCCCCCCCCGGTCGTCTGCCGCTGCGGCCGGGGCGCTCCTGCGGGTCTCTCCAGGAGAAGCAGGGCGGCAGTTCTTCACGCGTGGCTCCAGAAATGGCCCAGGGGGCTCGTTGTGAGTATCGTTTATCCGATCCCGATCATCAGCGGCGTGGCCTAGGCCCCACTGGCCGATTTACTCCCCTAGATGGGGATATAGGTCGTTCCCTTCGGGTTTCGAGGGGTGTATCCCCAACTGGGGTGGTAATTTTGTGTGGGTCTCGAAGGGTATGGGGATAGGGATGGGGATCGGATAAACGATACTGACGTTGGAAAGAGAACCAGAGGCACATCTGGGAAGCTTCCCGCGCGCCGTTTGGAGAACGCCCCAGCGTACTCTTGGAAGATCTCCGCATGCCTGTGGGCAAGCCCGGGGACCTGACGGGTGTTCAAAACACTTCCCGCGCCGCGGGGGGGCACTCGGCCTTCAAGGCTGAACGTTCGGACGGGAGGAAGGAGGAAGGGAGGAAGGGAGGGAGGGAGGAGGAGGAGGAGGAAGAGGAGGAGGAAGGAGGAGGAGGAGGAGGAGGAGGAGGATGGGGAGGAGGAGGGAGGAGGAGGAGGAGGAGGAGGACAGAGGAGGGGAGAGAGGAGGAGGAGGTCGAGGAGGTCGAGAAGGAGGAGGAGGAGGAGGAGGAGGAGGAGGAGAACAAGCATGGACGGCACAAGCACACAAACTTTCGAAGCTCCGCTCGGAGCTCCGGCACCGACGCTGGGCCTCCCGTGCCTGGCGCACAGAAAGCGCGCGCCGGAGGCGCGGCGCCCAAGGGGGCCCCCAGCACGGCTCCGAGGAGTCCGCGCGGAACTCCCAGCAGCTTGCTCCAGATTTCGTAATAAAGGGAGGGGGGTCTCATTTCGGGGGGGGTCTCTTCCAGGCTATCTTGGAGGGCCTGGGGGGGTCTGGGGACGATGTTTTGGAGGGTTCTCCCACGGGGGGAGGTCTGAAATGGCTTGTCTTGGAGGGTCCAGACCCCCTCCCTTTTATTACGAAATCTGGAATACGTTTATGACGTCTCTCGTCCTCGACTGACAGCCTTGTGGGGGAAACGAGCTCTGTATACACCGACGCTTTTTGTCCGACCCTGCGCTGAAATTCGCACAGGAGCGCGGACCCTGGTGTATACGGGATCCTGGTGTATACATTTTTCGTTGTTTCCCTTGGAAAACGGGGGACAAGTATACACCACCCCGACCCTCAAAGTCGTGGGATTGAAAAAACAGCCCGCCATTGGTAACGTATATGTCCCAATTTCCGACCTTGAGCCTGCAGCATGAGTCGCGCAGCCTAACAAGTGCAGCGAAACAGACTACGGAGGAGAAAGAGGGAAGTCCGCAAAGCTCCAGACGCTCCATGACCAGAGCAAATCCAAGAAAGCCGCGCGGAGCTCCGGAAATGTATGCGCATGCCGCTTTGTAATCTTGTGCTTCCAATGCAAGGAAAGCCAAGCTCAAAACAAAAGAAAACTGGGGAAACCAAAAGGTACCCATACCGCTAATTCCTCCCAGGACCTCTCCTGGGGTGTGGTCTGACGAGAATTCCGACGCGAATCCAGCGGCGGCGGCGAGGACATCCCAGGAGGCCCCACATGGGGGAAACTAGGCAAGGGCAGCGGTATCGGTGTTTTTTCCTCCTCTGGTAAGATCGGAACGGTCACAATGGGTACAAAAACGATGGTTACATGGTCCACCAGCAGGTCTTGTTCATTCCAAACAGGTTTCGTTGTCGCCGTCGCCGCGGTCTTTGCCCACCTGAAACACAAGGCCGCCTGCCCCAGAGAGGCCGCTGTCGGCTTTGGACAACATGTGTTGCTGGGCACCGCACCACTTTTCTTCGCACCCATTTCGGGCATCCAAGCAAGAATCGGCGACTCCGAAGGGTGCGGTTTGCATAGGATGTGGTTTGCAACCCGCACCCTGGGTGGCACCCCAGGGGGCGGGCGAGGATCTCGACAGAGCTCTCCGCCGCGCCCCGAGGCGGCCCGACGAGGACAGCGCCGTGCTCCCCAAGCCCCGACGGCGTCGATGGCAAACCACACCTGGCGTAACCACACGCTTCGTAGCCCCAGGCATGCGATGTCCTGATTTCCTCAGCACGGGATCCCCCCAAGTCTCGACTCTTCCCCCGAGGCCGGTTTCTCGTCCCGAGTCGTTCATGGGCGTTCCCGAGGCCCAGCGACGGTCTTCAAGAGGCCCAGAACAACCAAAAGCTGCCCGTCTGGATGCTTCTACGACGCGCGAGCATGTCTGGGGTCGCCGACCATGCCGATCTTGGACCGTCCCGAGGCCCAGCGAGGGCCCCGGGAGGCCCCAAGCGACCAAACAACCTCCCGTCCGGATGTCTTCACGACACGCGAGCATGCCTGGGGTCCGCCGAGCAGTTCGGGCAGGGATGAGGAAGGAGATGGAGCGAGGATGAAGGACGGATAAAGGGGAGAAGGAGAAGGAGGAGGAGGAAAATCAAGATGATGAGGAGGAGGAAGAGGAGGAGGAGGAGGAGGAGGAGGAGGAGGAGGAGGAGGAGGAGGAGGAATAGGAGGAGGATGACGAGGAGTAGGAGTAGGAGCAGGAGTAGGAGTCGAGCTAGCCAGCTCGAGCGAGGCAAGCATGGCATGTCCATTTCCACCCACCCTCCCACAACATAAAAAGCAGTGTTGGCGCAACTGGGGACCGACATCAAATCGGCAAGGTAGTTTGCCACAGCTGATGCAGCCGCGATGGCTGTTATCGATGGGAGATTCCTGGCGCGTGTCAAAGACTGCGCTGGCATGTCAGCACGAGCCAAGGAGGCCCCAGAAAGCCTCAGGAGGCCCCAGGAATCCTCAGGAGGCCCCAGGAGGTTGCAGGAAACCCCAGCGAACCCCAGGAAGCCCCAGGAGGCTTCAGGAGGGCCCAAGAAGCCCCAGGAGGCTCCAGGAGGCTCCTGGAAGCCCTAGGGCCCAATTTTTGACACAACTCACGAGGATCGTGGCCTCCGAGGGGGGGAGGCAAATCGAGGAACCCCTGGTGGGGAGACTTGTTGATCGCAAGCGCATCGGAAGTGCCGAACGCCGTCCGAAAGTCGTAACGACCAAGCTACGGCCTAAATTGGGCAAGCGGAAGGGAGAAAGAGTGACAACGAGAGAACAGCGGAAACAGAGACAAACAGGAGGCGGGCCTTCGCCTGGAGGGAGAGCCGCCAGCCGGTATGTATCGCCAACATGGCGGGGGGGGACTTCAGGTTGAGCGACTTAACTGCGAATCACGGCGGCGCCACGTCAGCAGCAAGTGGGGGGGCAGTGCGCCACTGGCAGCCTGCCAAAAGCGCGAATGCGCTGCGGGTTAGCGGGCCCGGGGGCAAGCACCAAAACCTATGTGGGGGTTGTTTTAGTCAACGGCCGCAGGCGAATGTGCCAGCGGCGAGTCCAGTCAAAACGGGGCACGCAACGACGAAGTAACCTAAAGCGGCGGGGCGAAGCCTCACGCAGCAGTGGAAGGGGCTGGCTGTAGCTGAATACCAGTACTGCCAGAATGCACGTATGCAACGCGTCGGAAGCTGCAGGAAGTCGGGAAGACCAGCGACCAGGGACAGCACCAGACGTGCAATTAGATGCAAGGGAGCACGCCCCCAGACTACTGCAAGTACCAGGGTGGCCGCAGCCAAGGGAGCCGACTGACGCAGGTCGAATTGGTGCCCAGTGTGGGCGTGAGCGTTGGCAGGCTGCGACATACCAGGGTGGAAAGAACTTGGTGGGAATACTTTTTGGTCGCAGCCGCAAGCGAAAGCGCAGGCGGCGAGAGGGGGTCCGGGGCACGGGCCAGCCGAATTAACTACTGAGCGACACGCAAGCCGGCCGGGCCAGCGCTCAGAAGCGGCGGCTGAGGTGCAGCTGCTGCTGGTGGAACTGGATGGTTGGTCTACAACGCCCAGGGAAGCTGATGCAACTTGCATATCTGAGGCAGAGGTGCCAGAGGTGGAATTAGGAACTGCACGCCGGAAACGCCTGACCAGCACTGTGCACACGGCCATGCCTCGAGCTGGCGAGGCCGCTGCCACTGCCGGTGAATCAGAAAGCGGTGCGCAACCAGGAACGGAGCAGAGCGAACGCGATTGAGCACAGGCACTGTGGCCAGGAGTGACCAGGTACAGACTGACCATGTCGCCGCAGGGCGCCAAGGGCCAGGGCCGCGGCAGCGGCTCAGAAGCGTCAAGAATAAAGGTGTCCCCCTCCTGGACCCCCTCTATCTGATTATCCACGGCGTGTGTGTGTGTGTGGTTTCAAACTGCCACAAGAGGCGCGGGGGCGCGAACTTTGGGCGAACTGTCTCATCATCCCCCAAGTTCGCATCATCGCTCTCATCTTCATATCATGCAAATCACCATGAACAGTCCATATTATCAATTGCGCGCGGATGTATCAAGCGAAACGCAGATGTTCGAAGATTCGCTGAGTTCGCAACCAGCAGCTTTTCAGCCCCATCCAGACATCCCAGGACCCCGAACTTTATTATCCCCAGGGTGCGATTCCCACCGGCAAAGGGTTACACATAGTCCAGGATTCCCAATCTTCTTCCGTGTCTTCTGGATGTTCGTCTTCCACTCCCCCCACTTTCCCAAATTTCTATGGAAATCGACGTCGATGTGTGACTGCGCCTATTTTTCCCTGCTGAGCCATCGAGGACTGGGTCAGGGGGGGGGGGGAACCATCGAGCCAGAACCAGCGGTACATCGCCAACAGGTTCACGACAGGCGCCCGAGAGCGAAGCCGCATGCTCCCGATCGGGGTGGGCAATCGGGCCCCTGTCGGCAGCGAATTGGCGACTGGGGGTCGATGGGGCCCCCCCCCCCCCCCTGCGCCTGTCGCTCCCCGACGTTGCCACTGCCTTGCGATGAGCACCTGTCAGTCAGACCGTTAGGCTCTGACGGGGGACAGGGCAGTTTTTAACACATGGGATTTTTAAGCATATAAGAGTTTTAGTACATGACAAATTGATCAATAAATGTATGCATGAACTCATCGTTGTTTTTAGTACTAAAGCCCTGCAATTTTAACACGATCCGCACGCGGAGCATGTATTAAAAACGGCTCTGTACTGGGACGAAGGCAAAATGGGCACAAGCCCAGGGGAGGAGGACTCGGACATCCCTGGCACCCCACGGATCCGCAGGGACGTGCCGGGCGCCGCGGCCCCTCCGGACGGCTCGGGGACGCTCCGAGAGCACTCCGGGCACGCTGTGGAGCTTCGTCCTGGGTCCGCCGGAGGAGCGCCAAGATCCCCAGCGGGGTCTGGAGCGGCGGGGGAGGAGGAGGAGGAGGAGGAGGAGGAGGAGGAGGAGGAGGAGGAGGAGGAGGAGGAGGAGGAGGAGTAGGAGGAGGAGGAGGAGGAGGAGCGACGGTTGGGTCGGGTCCAGGCCGTCGGGTGGCCATGGACGACAAGGCACGTCCCGACATCTGCCCCCTGCGCATCCCTTGGGGACGGGAAGTGGCAGCAGCCCGGGATGTCTGAGAGGCGCTGCGATGCGTAACAGACGCATAGCTGGAGCCTCGCAGCGCCCCTGCGCGACCGAACGCACTCGGCCATTCGTCCCTGGAGCCTCTGCGAAAGGACAGGAAGCCGCTACCATCCTGGAGCGCACCATTATCATTACTGTTTGCTCCCCAGCAGAGTGGGAGGAGGGAGGCGAGTGGATCAGGGTCCCAGGACCCCGAACGCGTCAGTCCAAACGCATGCACACATGTAAACAGCAGAGAGGGTGAACAAAAACACACGTCCTCGGACCAGGCGTTGGCGACCGCGTCATACACGAACATGTCTGCGAAGTTCTGATAGACAAAGGTGATCGCGTCCAGTCCCAGGCCTCAGTGAATCAGGCGCGGGGTTGCACACAATTTCATGAAATGCCCCTCTACCCAAATCGTGGCTATTCACCCGTCCCACTGCAATGTCTTTTGACATATTCAGACATACGCTATCCAAGCAAAGTTTGTCCACTGGACTTGCCTTTTGGGCAACGCTCAAACAGATGCAGACCCCACCACAACACACACACACACACGCGCGCGCGCACACACACACACACACTTTGAACGTATTGCTTGTGTAGTGCGTGCCCTGTCGTGCATTGGAACCTGTGCGCGCGGCCAGGCCGCTGCGACGACAATATGTCCCGTCGCAACTCCTCTCCCTCTTCCCGATTCCGGCAATCGCCTGACGGGGACGTCCGGAAGTATCCTGCCGCGCCATGTCTCGCCACGCCTATCGACGCGTAGGGGTCCCACGTCGGGCACGCGAATCCGCTGCAGTGCGTGTCACCGCAGCAAGGCTCGGAGCGCCCCCTGTCGGAGGAGGAGGAAAACCACTGCGCTGTGGTCGCGATCGCTCCTGTCGCCCGTGCTCCTCGTGCTCTTCGGCCCCCTCTCCTCAGAGGAGCAGGAGGAGGAGGAGGAGGAGGAGGAGGAGGAGGAGGAGGAGGAGGAGGAGGAGGAGGGAGGAGGAGGAGGAGGAGGAGGAGGGAGGAGGAGGAGCAGGACGAGGAGGATGAGGAGGTGGAGGAGGAGGGCGGTGGGGCCAGGTTGGATTGGCGGGGGGGCCGGCGCCGTGTGGGCCCGCGGAAAGAGTCCCAGAGGGTGCGCACCGGCGGAGGAGGAGCAGGGCTGGGCCTAAGCGTTGTTTTTCATGTTTCGTCTCCGTTCTGCTTCTCGTCTTGCTCGATCTGACGGTTGCAGCGCCTGGCAGTGCAGCCCCGCCTCCTCTTCGGCGACTTCCTGGCCTCGTTCTGAGTGGCGGTGCTAGGCCTGCTTCTGCTAGGTTAATGAGAGCCTCGCGCGGCCCGCCCGGACCCTGGCTCGCCGCTGTGCGCTCTCGCCTGCGGCTGCCGACAAAAAGGTCTTGCTCGATCTGTGTCCCTGCACCTCCCTGCCAGAACGAGAGGCAAAAGCACGGCCGAGGTCGAGCAAGACAGCGCTGAGGCCCAGCCCCGCGGAGGAAACAAACAGCTGCATCCGAGGCGCGCGGAGCCGCCACGCGGGCCGGGCGCCGATCCGAGAGACCTCCGCGCGCGCGGGAGCAGGAGCAATCAGCAGGAGGAGGAGGAGCAGGAGCAGGAGGAGGAGGAGGAGGAGGAGGAGGAGGAGGAGGAGCAATCAGCACCGAATCGGGGAATCGGATCGAATCGGTGCGTCGGATCGGGCCGCATCGGCACGGAGTCGAGATCGACTCGGATCGGCTGCACCAGGATGCGCAACAAGCGCCTGACAGCATCGGGTCCCTGGGACATCCGCCGACTCTGTCGGCGTGAGTGAGAGGCTTTTCCGTTGGAGTCGTCGTCGTCGTCGTCGTCGTCGTCGTCGTCGTCGTCGTCGTCGTCGTCGTCGTCGCCGCGCCCCCGCAAGCGTTCCAGCCAGAGGGAAACCGAGCAACGCCGTCGCTAATCGAGCCGAAGGAAAGGCCACTCCCTTGGATTCCTCCCCCGCCCCGCCACGGGCGTCCCCCGCGGGGGGGGAGGTCCCGGGGGGAACACCCCTCCCTTGGAGAAGCTTTCGGCTCCAGGGCGTCAGCGTCATCGTCATCATCGCCGCCGTCGTCGTCGTCGTCGTCGCCGTCCACCTGCAGGGTCGGCGGCACTGACCGCAAGGCCTTCGCAATCGAAATCGAATCGGGTCGAATTACCCGAACTCGACATCGAGTCGGAGCGATCGGATCGGAATGGGCCCTGTGGGCACCGACTGCCCAGCGACATCTCGAGGAGCACGCCAAACCGCGGGGGCTCTTGCAGCCATCGGCGCCGCGGGGGGGGGCCACCCGAATCACACAGACCATCGCGCCTGTTGCTGGCTCTCAACTTCAAGTGGCCGAGGAACGGTACAACAGTAGCCTGGGGAAACACTCAATCACACAGTTGCGAATGCCACACGAGAGGTCGAGACTAAGAGAAGCGTGCGGGGAGGGACGTGGCAGCGTTGCTGATCGGGTCGCGGAGGCTGGCCGTAACGGGTTACATCGGCACTTGACCCGTTACGGCTGATGTGCTGAACTTGTGAGAGGTGTGTGGACATGGGCGGGGTCGCGCATTCGAATCCTGCCTCTGGGGCCCTCTCAGCTTGTAGCGGACAAAAGCACGGTATACGCATGTCCTGCGACGTACCCCAAACAATTGGTTCTAGAATGGCACGGCTGATGGCAACGCAGGATCTGACATTGGTTGAACAAGCTATCTGGGAAGCGCGTGCGGGCGCGCTTCGCAACTCACAGGACAACAACATAAAAAAAACGAGGACTGGGGCCCCAGGCTCGAGGAACAAATGGGGGTGGGAACGACGGGCAGGAACAAAAACGGAAGAGGGGCCGAAAGGCAAACGCGGCAGCAGCACTGGGACGGTGGAGGGCGGAAGAGGACCACAACGAAAAAGTCAGGATGGGGAAGGAGGGTGGCGATCATATTCCAATGGCGCGCTAGACAAGCAGCGCGGCCCGTGCCATATCGCTCTGGCGCTCCAAAGGATCAGCTGATTATAGATAGTGCGAGAAGCGAGCGAAGCAGAGCTCGCACGCAAGATTCCCCACTTCCTTCCTTCCTTCAGCGCGCAGTGCGGGAGCTGCATGCATGCGCGCCGCCAGTTCTCCGGGCGGCCCGCGGGCAAGAACACCAAGGCAAATCTGAGCCCGCGTAGGACGTCACTATGATGGACCCCCAGCAGCCCTCGAAACTGGAGACAATTTCGCAGATCTCCCCCCCCCCCAGGGATGGTGAGGTCTAATCTGAAACTGCGTTTGGCGCCACTCAGCTGGACCCCCCAGAAGGCCTCGAAAGTGGCGGCGGTTTCGCAGATCGCAGCCCCCCAGGGATGGCGAGGTCCAATCTGAATCTGCCCAGGGCCTCTCCACTAGACCCCCAGCAGCCTTCAAAAGTGGCGACAGTTTCAGCCCCCCAGGGATGGCGAGGTCGAATATGAATCTGCGTGGGGCGTCACTCCGCTAGACCCCCCAGCAGCCTTCAAAAGTGGCGACAGTTTTGCAGATCGTAGCCCCCAGGGATGGCGAGGTCTAATCTGAATCTGCGCGGTGCGTCACTTAGCTGGATCCCGAAGCAGCCCTCAAAAGTGGCAGATTGCAGCCCTCCAAGGATGGCAAGGTCTAGTCTGAATCTGCCCAGGGCCTCTCTCCGCTGGACCCCCCGGCAGCTCTCGAAAGTGGAGACAGTTTCGCAGATCGCAGCCCCCCAGCGACGGCGACGGAAGACGGCGAGGTTGGAGGCAGGATGGCAGGCGGGAAGGAGCGAGGCAAGAGGCAGGAGGGAATAGAGAGGAGGAGGGAGGTGGGAAGCCGGGAGACGCGCGGGCAGCGCTACACTCAAAACGCGAACCCAGCGCAGGAGGGCTGGGACAAATCCGCCGTCGGGGGCGCCTGCCCCATGGCGGCTGCAAAGGTTACGCCCAGACGTGCCACCGTAGGGGTATGATCGGGCGTTGGCAGAACTGGGTTTCGTGGAACCTGGTTTAGTGATTCGTACCGGGGGCGCCCCCCCCCCGCCCCATTTCCACTAACCGGAACTGCCGTCGCCCGAAAAACACAAGCTACGGCAAACCTGGTTTAGTGACTCTGGCCAGTTGAGGGGTCCCAACTGAGGGCCCTACCACTCACCGGGTCCCCTTACCCGGGGTCCTGGCTATACCCGATATGAGCTTTCCAGCCGCACCGGGGCAGGCGTCCCTGACGGCAGGCACTGTTATGCTACACATGGCAGCGCGTTGGCAGCGGCCGCGGCAGCGCCTTCCCTTGACCTTCCAGAGAGCTATTTTTTAGCACCGGAGGCCTAAAAACCTAAAAAGCTGAGCGAAGCAGCCCAAAAGCACGAGGCGCAGCCCCGGAGGCACCTCTCGCCGGGGAGCGAACCATGGCATCGACGAGAACCTGCGGAGGTCCGGGCGCCTTTCTCGGAGCGGCGCCGGAGCCCTCTGGCGGCGCCTCCGGAGCCGCCACTGGCGCAGCGCCAAGCCAAGAAACCCGTGCGGACCTCGGACAGTTGATGATACCTCACTGCAGTGGTCGGCCTGACCTAAGGAACGATACATAAAGGAAGGAAGCCCCTTTTGTTCCAAGTGACTCTAAGAAGTCCGGAGGAACACCAGGGGGCTCGCCGCCAGAAAGGTAGCGGAACGTGTGCAAACCAAAGGAACGACGGAGCCCCTTTTGAAAAAGAAGTGTTCCTTATATGTTCCCCGATTTCACGCATCAGGCACTGTGATCAATCAAATCGCACTGCAGATAAAGACGTGTTATCGTCTGAGCCCCGAAGGAGAAGGGTGGAGGAGGTGAGGGTTTTTTCCCTGACTTTCTGCGAGCGCACACAGCCGCGCCATTTTGGCCGCGCTCCCACCTCGGCTGGTCAATTTGCACGTTGCCCTGGTCCAGCTCCCTGGAAAGCCGCAGCCTGCACGCCCCCACCCGCCGGCCCTGTCCGCCGTGGTGATGCCTGAGTTAATGGGCGAAGAACGGTATAAAATAAACTTTTCGCTGTCGGGGGCGCCTGTCCCAGGGACAGGCGTCCCCGACAGCGAAACAGTTTATTGTATACCGTTCTTCGCTCGATGACGGAGGCCCCGCCAGCTTTAGGCAATTCGTCTTCGCGCGCTTGCGCTTTCGCTTGCGGCTGCTGACTAAAAAGAGCGCACGCGGCATGCCTGCCTCGGGGATGCACAGACCCCCCTTTAGTAAAGCGTGGTTTAGTGAGAACGACCTGAGGCCCAAACCTGGCGGGCGCAGGCCTGGAAAAAAACGGCCACGGCGCCCTCTCGAGAACCGAAAACGGACGATTCACTAATCGACGTGTCACTGTTGGGGGTTCTGTGCACCCCCGACTGCCCACCTGCGGTGGCGCGGGCCTCCCTCCGGGGCGGCCTGCCTCTGCTCCCGCCCGCCCCTGCCGGCAAGGCCACCCCTGCCTGCTGCGTCCGCCGACCTCCGCCGCCCTTCAGCCGGCCTCCCGCCGACGGCAAGGGTCCCTCCTCCTCCTCCTCCTCCTCCTCCTCCTACTCCTCTTCCTGTCCTCCTCCTCCTCCTCCTCCTCTTCCTGTCCTCCTCCTCCTCCTCCTCCTCCTCCTCCTCATCCTCCTCCTCATCATCCTCCTCCTCCTCCTCCTCCTCCCCTCCTCCTCCTCCTCCTTCCTCCCTCCTCCTCCTCCTCCTCCTCCTCCTCCTCCTACCTCTCCTCCTCCTCCCCTCCTCCTCCTCCTCCTCCTCCTCCTCCTCCTCCTCCTCCTCCTCCTCCTCCTCCTCCTCCTCCTCCTGTTCGCCGACCTCAGCCGACCCCTTCCTCGATGGGGCGGCCCTTTTTCATGCCGCCCTCTTCGGCGTCGGGCTGGCATGTGCGGGGCAGGGGCAAGCGTTGACCCAAGAACTGCGTGGCTGGCGCGCACCCTGTCCTGATGCAAGAAGAAGCAGCGGCGCCCGCAGCGGCCCTGTCTCGGACTTCCGAAGCATTCGACTTGCTCGCCCGCCCGCCCCCCCCCCCCCCCCTTCCCCTCCTCCTCCTCCTCCTCCTCCTCCTCCTCCTCCTCCTCCTCCTCCTCTTTCTCTTCCTCTTCCTCCTTATCATTGAACCGGCCTTGCAGACCTGCTTCAGCGGATTTCTGCGTGGTTTTCTCTCAGCGCAGCACCCCGAAATGGCAAGCGAAAAACGATGTGAAATTCACGTGGCTTTGTTTGGGGTCTTCATTCCTGGCCAACAAAAAACCGCACGAAATTCACTTCGAAATCCGGAACGAAATTCTCCAGGACACTGCGGGCCCATCCTATCGTTTTCCGAACGATCCACTCTGCGATGTTGGCGCCATGATCCTTATCCTCCCTGTCCTGATCCTTTCCCTTCCCCAAGGAGATTGGAGGAGGAGAGACAGGAATACATCTGCGACGGTTGTGGACAAGTAGCGCCACGCGTGATTCACAGCTGCGTTTTCTACTTTCGCCGCACGAAGGCAAATCACCAAGCCCGACACCGCCAGAGATGAACATCTTCTGCTGGTCGGGCCACCATGCTGTCGCGTGGTAGTAGCGCGCCGATGGTGCAGTTCCACCTCAGCAACTGTCAAGTCGGCATTCCCTCTACTCTCCCCTCTGCCCAGAAATCTGACGATGAAAACGAACAATATGTGTTCACTTCACGCCTTGCAGTGTGCCCACAACACATGGAACTAGAACATGCGCGTCCGAAGAGAAAGTTCATTGACACCAATGCTCCACAGCATCTAGGATCCCCACTTGGCGACAGTTGCGTCCACGATTCACTATTGAAATCGAAGCTCCAAAGGTCGTCGAGGCTGACGAAGAAGTCAGTTACACCCCCGAAGAGCAGCATGCTGGCTGTGGCCTCTGGGACAACCAAGCAGTACAAACACACGTGCGCTTTACGGACGAATGGTTAATTTGTCGAGTCCTAGGTGCCCTAGGTCAACGCACTCGATGATCGACCATGACGCCTATGAACAAAAGGAATGCTGTCACGAAGAGAGGCAGAAACATTCATTCACGAGTGCTTTGCGACGCGACTAGCCTGCAGGAGGCCCAGCATGCGGCTCCAACCCGGAACAAACATCGTAGAGAGCTAACCTCAAGTCACACAGGCCTTTGAGAAGCGTGAGTATCTGAGGTCGGAGATCCAACATGTGTCATAAAGCAGGCAGCAGCGGTGCAGACACCATGCGACGAAAAGATGACAGCGCAAGGTTCGTATTATGATCGCGGCAACCCGCGAATATAGTGCCGCAGCGCCTCGTTGGCGACGGCCGTGTGGCCATATCGTGCTGTTGGCAAGGTGCCACCTGGTGAAATTGAAGCCCACGAGCCGTCGATTTCCTGATCAGAGTTGATCGTGTCGTTGGACACAGTGTAGCTGTACAGGTTGTTGCTCACTGTACCGACACTTCTCATGCCGCCGAAAAGGAATAGCTTGTACTGTGCCTGAGGAAGCTAGACTACTCCTCTTGCATTGCATATGCACGAACTCAATCTAGCCTCATGTCGACATTCTTTTCGGCTTAACACGTCTGTGGCCAACAACAGACTTGACAACGAAGAAATGTACACACACACACCCTCTCAGCAAATTGGGCGGAATGCAGAAACGATGCTGCACAGCGATGCGACGAATGACACATCATGCATGCATGCGACATTGATCAGGAGGGCCAAGGCAACCTTAGACACGAACAGGAGACGCGTGAGATCGAAGAGCTGCGCAAGCATGTGCAACAACATAAATCCCAAATGTAATCCAGGCGCGCTCCCCGAACGTCAACAGGGGACAACTACGGACACACGGATCCTACCTCAAAAGAAACCTAAAATTGGACCTTCTTGCTTGAGAGCCCCCCGCGAAAAGAATACATCAGGTAGGCGCACCTGTGACTCGCTAGGGTAACCGGTGCGTCCGAAACCTTCCAAAGCCCCCGAGTGACATACAAGAGCCTTCTAAGGACGTCCCGATGAGGGGCAAGAGAGAACTCCCAAGAAGGCTCCGTGAGGTCACAGTAGACGGTTCTCGCCTCAAGAAAGAACTCTAACTGCAGCACCAAGGAGGACATCCTTACACCGTGTCCGCCTCAATTCAGCGCGCCCCTCTCACGGACCCTAACTGGGACGAACCTCCAAGGCGCCTCTTGGATCCTTTTGTGGTGCCATCTTGGGCCGCCTTTGGACGCTCCCAGAGGCGATGCTGAGACAGAGGTTCAACAACACCCTTCCTCGGACTTCCGACCGAAGGCACACATGATGGAATAAATTATATGTGCTTCAAATTATTCTCGCCTTTCAAAGCATGGGCGAAGCCCCTGAACATTACAAGTTACGTGTTTGTTTCAAAAGGCCTCGATGTATCCAGAGATTCGCCCAAAAGGACTTTTCCAGTGGATGCCCCAGGCAGAACGCTTGTTGTAAGACGGCATGCTGAAACAATATTGCTGCTTCACCGGATTTTGAGTCTAGGGTTCTTGTCATTAGTGTGATGACTCCGCGTCCTTCTCGTTCCGTTTTCCCGCTTCCTCCTTCCTTCTCCTGTTCACTCTTTCCTAGACCTTCCCCTCTCAGATTCTGAATCACTGATACTCAGATTCGCTGGCATACGTGCTCATACGCTCACACTCGGGATCAGGACTCGTTCAAACTCGCCCTTATACCACATCGTGCACTGTCCAACTCACACTCAGACCCACTCCTACTCATACTCGTACTGAAGAGCACTCAGACTCCATCAAACTCAGACTCATTCACACTCAGACTCATTCATAATCAGGCCCACTCATACTCGGAATCACTCACACTCATACTCGCACTCAGCGTTGCTCACACAAATATTCACTCGTCTTCGATTTCGCTGGGAATGAGGGCTCCCGCGATGTGGCAATTAGGCATGGCATCTGGGCCGTCCAAAAAGAAGCCGCCAAGGAGTAAGCCACAGGCCTGCTCGCGCACAGAATGTGGGGACCTCTTCGGTGGCGACGCATGGGAGCCTGTTCGGGCCTGTTCGGGCCTTGTTCGGTGCAACTCATGGGGACCGACCATGCCATCTTGCAGGCTCTTGCGAATCGATGCTATCCGACGCTACTCGACGCGAGACGACGCTACATCGACGCTTTTCGACGCGAGCCGACGCTACATCGACGCTGATTCTGCGCGTTCGCATCGATTACCAAACGCTGATGCACGCCAACGCACTCGAAAGACAGGACTGCGAGGACATGCAAGGCTCCCAGCTACCGAAGCAGCAGAGCAATCAGCTCGTCGCCATCCCCTGGGGCGCAGCAGGACATACTAGTACTATGCGCGCCCCTTGGAGGCGCCCGCCCAAACCGAACACATAGTACAAACATCTGGTCGCATATCGTTACCCAGGCGGTACGCCCAGAAAGCGCCCGACGATGTGCTATCGAGTGGACATGATTACCCCGCTAGTGCGCGGCGCCGTCTTTTAATGCCAACTTGTGATCAGCAAATCCGTGGGGGGGGCGCGTGTCTCAAATGACACCAGAGAAAAATCCCAATCAATGGATGGCTTGCGATGGGATCGATAAAGAAATCGATAAGGAGATCGACCGGGAACCCTGAACCCACCGAAATCGGCCCGGAACCAATAACGAGGAACCCGGGAACCCGGAACAGGGAACCCAGCCGGCCACCAAAATCGGCGGGAAACCTTCGCCAGATCCTTCAATTTCCGCTATAGGACCCCTTCAGTGCGAGCACTGCTTGGGGAAAAATAGGTTCCCTGCTCAGGCGAATCGCGGGGTGGCGCCCGCCATCGGGGGCGGCCAAGAGGGGAGGGCGCAAATCAGGGCCGGCGGCATGTGCGCGGCCCTTGGGGGGGGGAGGGCCAGGGACGTACGCAATGAAGTAAGAGGAGGCGCCGTGAAGTCTGAGGAAATACCATGGCCGACGCCATGATGTCCGCCCCCCTCTAGTCATAACCCCCTCCTTGCCGGCCCCGACGCCAGATTGAAAAATCGGGGATCTTCTGACCCGGGGTGGGGTTCACTTCGCTCGGGAGCTCCCGAGCGAAGTGAACCCCACCCTCCCCCTCAGAAATCGTGGCGGGTAGGGGTAGGGTTCGCATGTAGCCCCCTAATAAAGATAGACTGTTGGCGCTCCTTGCGGTTTTCTTGGATCTGCGCCGGGGCCCCCCTGGCGGCGCCTCCAGCGCCGCCCCTGGCGCGTTCCGCGCGCCAGGGAGGGGGGCCCCAGCGCAGTTCCAGGAAATCCACGCGGGGCGCCAAAAGTTCATATGCTTATGGCTTTTCCCTTCTAGTCTCGACCACCTCGAAAGCCCTACCAAAAAAATCAACGGCGGCGGCGCCGGTGAGCAGCGCCGGCCTCCATTGGGAAATCGGATCCAACGTCGGAATCCGTTGTCGAACCGAATCGACATCGGAATCCATCGACATCGAATCGAATCGAATCGGAGGAGTCGGGATGAGCCCCGCGAGGGGGTCCACGACGACCCAAAAGGGCGTCCAAAGACAGCCCCCGAAGGGCCCCAAGAGGTCTCCGAGACGGTCCACAGGCCCCCGGGACGGTCGCCGAGTCGTCGGGGGCGCCGGGCAGCCCGAGAGCAGCCCGAGGCGGCCCAAGAGACCCCTAAGGCGGCCCCAAGAGAGCCCCAGGAAGACCACGAGAACGAAGGGGCCCAGGAGCACGCAAACAAAAGTACACACAGATCCAAGGATTCCCCTATACTTTCTCATATGTGCTTGAGGCTCGTCTTCCCCCCCTTCCCACATTTTCCCGGATTTTCTTGGAAGTCGCCATTTGATTGCGTCTGTATGTGTTTCTCCTCCTGCACGAAGACTGGCCGGAAAGGAGCCCCTAGAGATCCCAACGAGGATCCCATAGGGCCCCGCCCCAGTGTTACCCAGTGCTTTCTTCGAGCGCTGGGTGAACCCGCAGCCTACGTGCATGGCCGCACATTCGCCCGACATTTCACCACACATGCACTTCCAGAAAAGATCAGGTTGCGATGATGCGCCGTCGGCGTCTTCGATTATCTACAAGTCAACGAAATAGCATGATTGAGAAAGTGCGCAACATGAGAAGTACGTCAACTGGGACATATCAATCACGCGCTTGCCAACTTTCAAAATAGGCGTGGCCTCCCACATGACCAGGCTGCTTTGGTACACAGCTTCTGGTTGAACTCCGTTCGGCGTGCAAAGTGCCCATGCGCTCTCGAGTACTTTATACACGTACATGTCGTCCAGGAAGCCCTCGGAGTTGCTACCTCCGAAGATGTACCAGTTGACCTTTGAGCATTGTCTTCAAGGGTTGAAAACACATCATGTGCCACGGAGCCAGCCTGGACTGGGGGATTAAACCGACAACTGACTTGCTGCATCTCCCTAGGCAGTACTGCTAGGGACCTGAAGCGAAGGCGAGAATCATCAACACCAGAACTTTGATAACAACTACAACACATTATTAGCCCTCTCCGCTCCTCACTGGTTAGAGCGACGTCTCGGGTCTGAGGGGGACGCAGATCGTCCATGTCACGATCATTCCTGCAGTCCGTGGAAGATCCGGACGTGAAGCTTCCCAATCATTCCTAGACGAGTTGCTTCTGTCGAAGCCCAAAGTCATCCTCCTCCTCCTCCCCCTCCTCCTCCCCCTCCTCCTCCCCCCGAGAGGCCCCGCAAGACCCACCCGTCCCACAGGTGGCGCAGGTCTCACAAGCCCCACAGGCCGCAGGGGTCCCTCAGGTCCCACAGGGCCCATCAGTCCCGCAGATCCTACTTGTTCCACAGTTCCCACCTGCTCCACAAGTCCCACAGGTCTCTCTGGCCCCATAGGCTACAGAAGTCCCACAGGGTCCACATGCACAACGAATCGCACAAGTCCCACCGTTCCCACCTGCCTTACCAGTCCCACAAGTCACTCTTAGGGTGCTTCGCTGGGGCAATGGAGTTCCGGGTCGGCTGTGGCATGCATCCGCGGGTAGAGGAACAGCACCGCAATAGGAAGGGATTGGAGGGAGGGATAGACTGTCGGATGTGTCGGGAACGCACCTAGCCTGCCTCCCCCCACCAAGAACACGTCCAACTCTCACGAGCGCAAGCGAGGAGGGAGCGGGTGCAGGGCGCCGGCCATGTCGACGGAAAACCGCCCTTTGGGTGAAGGGGGTGCCAACAAGTTGATAATCCGGGGATGGACAGACCTCCCTTTAGTAAAACGTGGTTTAGTGAAAACGACTTCGGGCCCAAACCTGGCGGGCACACGCCTGGGGAATAACGGCCACGGCGCCCTCTCGAAAACCGAAAACGGACAATTCACTAATCGACGTGTCACTGTTGGGGGTTCTGTCCATCCCCGAATAATGCTGATTGTCAGCACTGAATCACCGATGGCCAAGCTAGACGTGAACAGCATCAGGGGGCAACGGAGAGAGAGAGTGGAGCAATGGGGAGAGGGTAGAAGGCGGGAAAGGATGAGGGAGGAAGGAGGACAGCATCAAGAATTTGGACCTTCGCGGGCAGATCAACCGATACCCTGCAGAAATCTGAATGCTACAGAATTGCAGCCATCGCGGGGGGAAAGAAGGGCCTGGCGGCGCCGTGCTGGCGACGTGCACGCTGCACCCCGCAAGTGCAGACGACCCGTGCACCGGGGGCGGCCTGGTCGTCGGCAGTCTACGAGGTCTGGCTGTCTCTGGACGCGATGTCTTTTCCATGGCGGCGAACCTCCGTGACGCTCCGCCGCGGTGGGCCCTCATACCCCCGCGGTCGTACGGCGTACTGCGCCCATGTCCTGTTGAGCTCTGGCCAGAGAGGGTGGGAGGGAGGGCTCGCGATGCGAACACCCCCCCCTTGGTCACAATATGGCTATGGTACCTGCCTTGCTGGCTGGTGGTGGTGGGGGGTAAATTCGTTACTGGGGTGCCCAAATAGATCCCCCAACCTTGTGCCCGGACCCCATGTCACAAATTCCTGGGGAACGCTATACGTCATGAAAGGATCTTGGCCCACGAAAAAGTCAAGCAACTTTCGAATAATTAGAACTGAACAATGTGTAGTAGGATTGCGCATGTTTTCCCCAGCACCCCCAATGCCCGAATCGATCGGGCAGCAACATCTTTCGCAAGAGAGCTCCGGTTCTGGCCGCCGGGCCCACGGACACTTTGGTGCAAGATCCAATCTAAGAATTCCAGTGGTTCCTCACTGCCGGGGAACACTTATCCCAGGAATCGATCCTTCAACGGCAAGACTGGGAACGGTCGTGCCTCCAGTCCTGAGCTCTGAAGAAGACTGTCGCAGGCGCACCACCCGACACAACGAGCCCGCCGCAGACGCCGGTTCTTTCGTCAGAGCAAAGCGGATCAGTCGCGGGTGGGTCGCGGGAGGGTCGCGGGTCGAGTCGCCGGTGGGTCGCAGGGTGGGTCGCGGGGTGGGCCGCAAGTGGGTCGCGGGGTGGGTGGTGGGGTTAGTCGCGGGTGACAGCAACAATCATTTTGTTGTTCGCTCTTATCTGCTCGCGTACCACTCAACACGTATATCCCAAACCCTCGATACCCGCCCTCTTCGTCTTCGATCCTACGACCTAGGGGCACAACAACACACAACACACACAAGACACAATTCACACAACACACACACATTACACCCGCCGCCCCCCCGCCCCCGCGCACACATACACACACACACACACAACACACAACACACAACACACACACGCATGCACGCACGCACGCACGCACGCACGCAAGCACGCACACAACCATCCTGCACATGTGCATGTATGAGCCTGGGCAAATCGGTGCTACGTGCAACATAGATAAAGAGCCTGCACCCGTCACTGGCCTCTCCGGCAGGTCAGTGCAGGCATCGTGCAGCTCATGCGGTGCAGGCCAAGACAGCGAGGGCGAGAGGAGGGGGGGGAGGAAGGAGAGGACGGGGAGGGAGGGAGGAGGACGAGGGCGAGGAGGGAGGAGAGGGCAGCGAGGGGAGGAGGGCAGCGCTCTGCCGGGGGACCAAGCCGACGTGGAGCGCGGCCCTCGGCTCCCAGCGCGCTCCAGGCAGCGCCGAGGCCTCGGGAGTCCGGAGGTCGTCACCGTCGTCGTCCTCACCGTCGACGTCGGCGTCGACAACGACATCGACCACGACGCCGCCGAGGACGAGGACTAGGGCGACGACGACAACGACGACGACGACGTCCGCGGCTGTCCTTCTCCCCCTCGTCGTGGTCGTCCACGGCGTCCCATCGGCCTCCTCCTCCTCCTCCTCCTCCTCCTCCTCCTCCTCCTCCTCCTCTCCTTCTCCCCCTCGTCGTGGTCGCCCACGGCGTCCCCCGTCGGCCTCCACCTCCTCCTCCTCCTCCTCCTCCTCCTCCTCCTCTTTCCCTCGCCCCCACCAGGGCCCCATGGATAGCCCGAAGAGGCCCTGCAAAGCCACCCCCTTGCTTCCACAGATCTCTCTAGTCACCCTGGTTGCCCGTTTTGTTTTACCATATGTGTCTCTTCGTCCCTTGTCCCATCAGCTCTCATGGGCAGGGTTTCTGAATG